GCTGTGCTACATGATGGTGATTTAACAGCCACACAGTGACATGGCCACTCTTAAATTAGAGCAAAATTATTTGCAAACATGTTGTAATCTGAGAGTGACGACAGTCACTCCCAAGTCAACCACGGTTGTTTGTTGTTTCGATTGCCTTGGTCACCCAGCATTTAAAGCTACCACACGCTCAACCACTTGCAGTCATTTGTCAAATAAGAAAAATTTGATGCAATCACCCCGGTAACCACTGAATTTTTAAATCCTAATTTTACTCCACAGCGGCTGAGCCATTAGTAGTAGTAGTGAGTGAGTGAGTGAGTGAGTAGGGAAGTGAAGACGTGTCCTGCCACCACTTCTCCCTGTAGTGTTATGTTATTGTCATCTTAATAAAAACGTGTGTGTGTGTGTGTGTGTGTGTGTGTGGCTTGCCCTGCAATATTTTCAGTAGTCAATAAGACTAGGAAAATGCAATATAAATGCATACTATGCTTGCCAAGATAAATAAAAAAGGCCAACGTATGGAGAAGTCTGCTTGTCCCCGCTGTGCAACCCATCTTCTGTTGACACAGAACTGTCGGAGAATTGTCGGCATTGAGAGCTGGACATGTTTAAACAATCATAATGAAAAAATGCTGGTGGCATAATGTGGTGGTAGTGTGAGGGTATTCGTTTCTTCCACACCAAACCTTTACTCACTCATTGGTCTCTGCGTGTTTGTCTGTGTAGGAGCACGGCGTGGAGAACGGTGGAGGCAGCCACGTGCTGTCGGAGTGTGAAGACTTCAAACAGGAGCAGTCTCGGATCAGCCGACTGGAGAGACAGGCTCAAGACTTCCTCAATGCTGTGTTCCACAGAAAAGGTACGACATACATACCCCTCATCAGTCATTATTCATCAGTCATTATTCATTTACTAAAGTCAGTCTAGACATGGATATCCAGAGTAATTTAACATGGGTCTATTTTAGAATTAATATGATACTTTTCCTATATATTTTTATTTAAATTTTCTTTTTTCTGTCATAAATATATGTTAATTGCTGGTTGTTTGTATTAAACATGTTTCAAATAATGATGTTTTAGCTTATATGAAAGTAGTCCATGAATGCATGCTTTAAAACTCTATTTTAGATCATTTTATTATACTTTTGAGTCTTCATGATGTAATTGATGCCCCTAGTATTGTCCTCTCAAATTCTTAAGTTTTGCTGTGAGAACATGAGCTTTAACTGTGTGGTTTTTAAACATATTTCTAAGGGGTAGCCAATCAGAGTAAAGTTGGCTTAAATGGATCAAGGCCCAGTGTAGTAGAAAAATACAGAATGTTTGTGTGATGGTTCAAGGCAATGTTAGTCTTTACCCTGTAACGCAGAAAGTTGGTCAGTTACCCACTGGTTGCAATACCAAGTTGTATGTAACTGTTTTCCTCAAATGGCAAATCATTTATTCATAAATAGCTAAACTATGTCATTTGCATTCTGTAGCTCAGCTTTGGGAACTAAAATAAATAGCTCTTGTAGAAATTATCCATCATGCTCAGCTTTAGGAGTTGAATTGGAGAGGACACAAGTCTATGTTTGGGAGCAATGTGTAATGCCTGAGTGTCATTGATAACATGACAGTACAGCTGGAATAAAAAGGGGCCAGGGATCGATCCCAGAGGGATCCCAGATGTAACTTTGTCAGAGTTTCACATTTGGGACAAAGACATTTCTGCCTTGCAGGTAGACCCTAAACCGGTTGAGAAATGGGCCAGAGAGGCCGACCCACTTTTTCAACCTGCGCTAACAGTGCCATGGTTATTGTGAGAGGCCATGCAGGAAGCTCTGTACAGTGTTACTTTACACATTGGTGTTACAGTGAGAAACTAGTACTGAATTTAGGACGTTGGATACTCTCAAAATATGATAGGTGAAATCACCAGCATACATACACCCCTAAGAAAAAGTATCACTATAACAGTCATAACAAAAATGCATGAATTTAGCAATGGACTTTTCACATAAAGACTCTTTTCACATAAAGACTCTTTTCACATAAAGATTCATCTGCATTTGATGTGGTCTTACAATACAGTGGTCCCTCGCTGTTTCGCAGCCTCGCTGTTTCTATGAGTTTTTTTGTGCAATTTTGCATGCTATTTTTTGCTTGTTTGTTTGGTTTTTTTACATCACACTGTGTTCTGCATCCTGATTGGCTGTAGACCACTGTCAATCAATCTCCTTCGTG